ACATGAAGTCTTTTGGTGCAGAAAAGTCCAATACTTTTATTAATCAGTCAACTACATTGTACATGAAAGGGGTTCGAAGGGTGTCATGGCAATAGTTGAAGAGTTTGAATGAAACAGATATTGATTAACTGAAGGCCTTGAACAGGCAACCTTGGAAACCTTCTGAATAAAATATGAATGACAAGGGAAAAATATTCAAATCTAATTAACCCCCCAATAGGACAGCATTACCATAGGTCCAATATTAAATTATCACAAAAGTGATGCATACACAATGGCAATTTGACCAGAAAGAAAAACTCATCAAATACAGGTGCTGGAATATGATACTCCAAAAAGTGAGTGTTACATGTATGGGCTACTCCAAAATGCGAGTGTTATATGGAATACTCATTACAGAATCCTTTGTTCGTCTTGATATCTTACAAATTGGAAGACAGGAATGGTACATGTACAGGTCGGTATGCCACTGAAGAACACATCTTTAACTCCGTCCTCAAGGCACAAGGGTTCAATGCAGCCATTGATTGACTGCCCTTCGAAGGAAACAGCTCACAAACCAGCCAGCCCAAGAGCATAGCAACCGTTATTTTATGCATGTAAGCCCAGAGGAGACTCACAAATGAGACAGGATGAGGGACGCCAGTGAATGGACGAAATGATCATGCCAGAGTGTGAAATCTAGCAACAATGGGTGTGCTGCAAAAATGAATTTTGCATGGTGGTTGGTGGTGGCCAGGGTCACTCAAGGACATTGCATTGAGTGGGGAAACCAGCAAGGTAGTCCTTGAACACTGACAATCATGACACAATGGGATTTCAAAAATAAACACAAAGCCTATCCCAGGCATGCTAATTCACGAAATGTACTACTATTGTATGAAACAAAATGTAAAATAAAAAGACCTACATTTTCAGGACACAATGATCTACGATTGCTTGTCTGATTAAGGGCTACCTGTACTAAGTACTTCCACACACCTTGCAAGGACAATTTTCTTTTCTTACTTTTTTAAATACCTTTATGTACAATTATAATTGTTGTTGTTTTTAAATTATTACACAAACGTACATGTACCATACAAGTACTTTCAAATATCATCCAGTCTAAATGTTACATTAAAAACTTCCAAACTTTTTTCCCTAATTATTCCATTTCACTGAGAAAAAAAATACCGCTGGATAAACTTCCCCTGCAACTTTTTTAGGCATGTGTAGTTCTAGACTACATATATCGGTACATGAGATATCATTACCAACATGTACCGGTACATGTATATGTACAGTGTACGCATACATGTACATGTACATGTACATGTACTTGTTTCATGTACATGTACTTGCTGCTTACATGTACAAGTTCAAACTTATTTCCAAGTGCACTTAGTGTAATTACCAGGGCCTATCACATTACACTTTCACAGCCAAAAAAATTATTCAGCCAATTTCATCCTCCGACAATTCCCCCTTAATCTGTATGCTTTCCCCCTTCTCCTCAACTGCATGGATAAGTATTTTTTAAGCAGTGTCGCATTTCTTGTGTTTTTGGTTTTTCCTCTGCAAAGAAATTCGATACAACAGGGGTGACACTACGGGTTCGTGGTGGGTGAAATGGCAACAGACTGGGGAGAGTGCGTACCCTGGGCTGGAATCAGCTTCCAATTGGGACAAAGACTGAGAAACTGGTTGACTGGGAATGTACACGATGGAAATACCGTAACTTCAGAGCCAAGGGCAAACCAACAAATTTGGGAAAAATTCCTAAAAAGAAAAAAAGATTTAAACATACCGGTAGTTCTGGCAAGATGTTTTAAAAGAAATGTTTTGGGGGGTTAAAAATCTGTTTTGGACTGGTTATTGGTCCAGTGAAGGTGAGCTGCAGATGCAGCATACATGTACAACACTGGTAATTAAAGTGTTCACATGAGCTATGTCTGTTTGGGCAATGAAAAATACATGTACATAAACGGTGAAAGATGAAATCAAGCCAAACGTTTGACACACAATTGGACTGCAACAGACATATGTACATGTGTGAAGCCATGAACACCTCTCCTGTAAAATCAACTTTCATCAGAGCCCCCAAATGTACTCAATACCCACTGCACGTGCACTGGTAGGAAAAATGAGTTTTCAACATGTATTGGAATATCAAAATGATTTATTACTCTGCAACACTTGCTGGTTTGACTCTGACCTCTCTGACCTCAGCAGTAGGGGGTAAACCTGGCCAGAGGGGTTGGGCTGCAAAAATGTTCCAGTGCACAACAGGAGTTGTGGCCAATTTTCACCGAGCGCATTTCTCTCAATGGTCAGAGAGGTCAGGTGGGTTGGGCAAGATTGCTGCGCTTAATTGCGTCCCATGCCTTCAAATCCGGACTCCCGGGACCCTTTCCATGTACATGAGCACGTACAAATATATATTTTCCACTGTAAAAGAAATATCTTTAAAATTCTGTGGGTGCCATTCTGAACTCTAAATTATGCCAAGATCCAGCTCTAACCTTATATGTGTGGGACTATTATGGGTTTTTGCCAGAAGACAAGTTCTTCAACCTCAATTTGCATTGCCGGGAATCTCCAAGTCTAGCTGCTGGTGGGCCCTGGGGCGGTGACAGAAACCTGATATTTCCTATCCGAAAAAAACCCAGGCCAGCTTCAGGGAGGCTCTGGAGGGATTGATTTGACATGCTAGAGCAAGGTCAAGATCAAAGGCTCAGCCTGAAGTGTGAACATGAGAGGAAGAATGTTCATCATGAATTGACTCACTGCCTACTGGCAAGGGTGAATAATCTGTTTTGTAGGCAGGACTTTAAAGCCCTTGCTGAAAGACAATTCTTTCCACTGGCAAATTTAAGTTCATTATGGGTGAATTTTTTATTTTGAGTGCAGCACCATTAAATTTCTAACTAAAGCTCTAGAGTTTTGTTTAGTTATTCACACAATGACCCATCCAGTTTAAGTACATGTAAGTCCTATGTACATGTACATACAATTACATGCATACAAACTACATGTAGCATGCAAATTAAAGCACAGGCATGCAACAGTATTTGTACACCAAGTAATATGCTGGCACTACCAGTATGCTTGCTTCTCACTATGTGTACAGTGTACCACAAATCATTTTTATGATAGTTTATAGTGTTTTAATGACAGTTCCCAACCAAAGAGTTCAATTTAATACCAGCAATACTGTCAAACAATTTAATCTCTTTTATGCAAGCCACTAGAACTACCCCTGCATCTGTTGGCTTGTACATGTACCATAATATACGCTTGCTCATTTTGCAAATCACACTGCACTGAAATGTCAAACACCATTACAGCCTCGGGGCTAAACAGCTCACCGGACAGCCCAAGGTATGCCTAAGCACGTTTCATTCTCCCCTTCTCCCTCGACACAATAGCAGGCGCATGGATGGACAGGTGAAGCATCACCCGGCCAGTCCTACACCGACTGAAAGCAGAGAGGGTCCATGCTTAAACGTAAAGGATCTTACTCTCGTCTTTACCAAGCCCCAGTCATAGATACTGGATACCGGAAGACTCTGGTGTCAGAAAGTCAATACTGAAACAGCAGTTTAGACCCGGGGAATGTATTGGGTGACATACGCTAACAAACTCCACAATGCATACTGCCAGCACTCCATATACATGAACCCCATTACCTGAGCAGCTGTGCTCAATTCAGTTTTGGTAAGGTCTAGTGTTACACTACTATTAGCTACATTAATAATGGTTGTACTATAAGAACAGCAAAGCTTTGTTCTGCCTTAGGGGTTCCTAAGAGAGGATGTTTCACTGGTTTGACTGACGAAGGTCCAACTGTAATTCCACTCATTCACCGATGGCAAATAATTTTCTTGTAGGTTTGGAATAAATTAAGCATTACCCAAGAGGAAACACAGTGGCAATCTTAAGTAGTACTCATCGTAGTGATATAAGTATGGGCAATTGGGCATGTCTGTGAACAGGGTTCTAGCCGCGGTGGTGTCTGTGAACAGGGTTCTAGCCGCGGTGGGTGGCCACACCCGGTACTGCAAATTTCCGCCCATCACTCAGTGTTGAAATTGGCTATGCCACCCAGCACGGATTTTCAAAAAAATGTACTGAAATATTACTGAAAATTTAAATGTACCAATTCGATCATATTCCAAGCATCAGAAAGCATTGAGAACTGCGCTCACTATGCTTTGTAATCCAAAAATTTACCCAGCACTAACATGGTCCAAGCTAGAACACTGTCTGTGAAGCATTTTTCGCATTGCTGTAATAAAAAAAATTATGTCATTTATGATGATTTTCCTTGTAAGCTCCCTCTACTCCTTCAGAATAAGTCCTATCTGCTCGTAGTTGGTTGAGCTGTGCAGGTGCTTGCCTGCCGTTTTTATTAGCAATGAAGTTGTATTATGATTCACTGGACACAGCAACATCTTGGTGCTGAATTATCAACAGAAGTGGCCAAACATGCTAAAAAAAATCTGTGATACTGGGTGCATGTATCTTTAATTTAATGTGTGCTGGTATATCATTAGACTTTCAAGAAAATGTTTTAACTATCTATGGATGTTAACTGTAGTATTAAAAAAATACTATCCCAACATTAAAAGCATGAACGCCTGGCATTTTTTAAATCATGTATAAAATACAAAGCCTAGTTATGGTACAAGTACCTATAATATAGTCTCCCATCAGCTATTTTTAGGTAAAAAGTAGAATTAGGCCTAATGTACTTTACTTTATTGTCCCTAACTGGATAAATTCTATTTGGACTTATTTTACACCACGAAAATTAGCATTAATAAAATTACCAAATCAGCTGTTCAAGACCGTCCCGTCTTGAGCAATTACATGGTGCTGCGTAGTTTACTTTCAGTGCATTAGCAGTATGTGCACGTGTGCGGTGAAGTTTTGACATCGCAACTTTCGGATCGACCAGCCTACTGGTACTGCATTGGTTGTACTTGTGCCGACACATCGTGAATTCAACTACTTACCAACAGTTGAGTTTCTTGACGTTTTCCAAATCCGACGAATGAGCTTTGGCCATTACTTGGCCCTCCGTAAGCTTTCCCATTGCGGCAGCAGCACTTTCAGCAGCAGGTTCAGCCTCCGACTCCTGGATCATTCGAAATCAGCTCTCTGGAGCTTGGCAGACGATTAAGGCCAAACGATTTCAATCTGTCACTACGCACTACTCTACGTAAGCAACCAACTTCAGCTAGCCGCGTCGTCGAGATCGACCCGTACCGTACGTGTAGGGCCAGCTAGCTAGCTATACATGTACATGTACATGTACACATTACACACAAGCGCTAAGTTTGCATGGTCAACTGCCTTCCTTCCACATTTAATATGGTACATTTTGATTGGCTACCCGACTATCACCAACGTTTTGGACGATTGGAGCCAAGAGCTCTAAAGACGATATAACACTGTATGTCATTGGCCAGAATATGATTAATTTTTGCTCTTGGCCAATTATAATTCCTGTATTATTTTTGGCAATCGCTATTCTACTGGCGGCCATTTTAAAGATCAGTGCATTTTGAACGATCATCTACTGATCTGGGCCTACCGTATGTAGTTAGCTGGCTGGTGTGCCAGGTTTGCAGCTCATCTGATGTCAGGTTTTCGTAGTTGTAGTCATACCGAAGAACATGGCTTAGAACTACTAAAAAATATGATCATCGTGCTATGACGTACACAATTTAACTGTTTCAGTCTCTTCCTAGCTTAGTAACAGTGACAAGTGCCATGCAGGTGAGGTAGGTGTAAAATAAATTATTGTTAGGAAACGCTCAACGCTAGCGCTGGCATGGCTCAAGAACTCAAACTTTAAGTCACTACTTTGTCATACTCCTGTGAATTTTAGCCAGTGTAGTTTAGGCATGTTAGATCTACATCATGTACATGGAGTCGCTAGTCGTAACGCTATCCTGGTTATGCCTACTTCCAGAACTGTCATGACTGTAAGTTAGTGTAACTTTGTGTAAGGTTTTGTTTCCCTAACCCCTTCCAAATGAAAGCTGAGCTGTGATTGCTCTTTGGAATGGAAGTAAATTGGACCAATCACAATGCAGCTTTCATCTGTGGGTGACAGGAAAACAAAAGGAAAAAAATACCAGGAAAAGTAGGAGCTGTGTTGCGATTGGTCAAGCTATCATACAGCTGACAGATATCGAGAGTACATGCTGCTGATTTTCTGTAGTGTGGATGGGCAAAATGCTCGAGAATTTTAGCTCAATTGCAGAATACCCCGCCACCCCGCACGATCAACCTCATAGCCAGGTACAGGTCAGAGTGTCACACTCTTCTCAAGGGATTTTCACTTTGTAGGCCCTACCCACATAACCAGTCATTCCAGGGGTAGTTTTTTTAGAGTGGCAAGGTATTCTGCAATTTCTCCAGAATTTCACCATTTTAATGAGGATATAAAGAGAATATACCTCCCCATCTGACATCTAACTTCATCAAGAAGGCATGTATGAAATTTGGTTGCACAAATACCTGTGATGGAAAAGTAAGTTGGCACAATCAAAATAGCCAAAATGTGTTTGGGAAGTAGGCTATGCCATGGGTTTTCTAATCAAACTTGAGAGGTGAACAATCCACAGGTGGAACAAAGCTATTCAACCAACTTTTCCCATGACAGCAAACTTGAGTAACCTATAGGCTACTCTTAAGGGTGGAACAAGAATTTAAGAGCAGAGACCGAGCATTTTTTTAAATTAGATTTTTACTTATCTTTCGCTTCCATCCAATGACAGTCGCTCCATTGGTGTTTAGGCCATGAGAATGAATATCCCAGGTTTCTGTCCACCGCCTGCATACTGCTGAAACAGCCGCTAAAACATTTCATTATTTTCCCCCCAAAATTATTATTTTTAGAAAAATTGTTTTTCTCATTGGGAATGGTAAAAAAATGACTGCAAAGTAAATCTGAAGTTCATAGTGCATTCGCGTACAAATGGCGTGATGTTAGACGGACCGAGAGCTACTCTACTTTCAAAGTTGGTTCCCTTTGCATAGACGCGTACTCACTATCGATGTGCGGTATGCACACCAACTACATACATGTGTCATACATTATAGGTTAGGCCTACTTCGAGAATTCAAAATCACCACTCCAGAATAGTGACATGAGTGACTTGGAGTTCCCTAGGTACAATGCGTGCACTCTGAATATGGACAGGACAGGGTGGAAATTATCACCATTCAAAGTCATGATCTAGGCCTGCCCCTAGAATTATGGGGTTTTTGTCACAGCCACCGCAAAGTTGGCATGACAAACCCAATAGATCAAGGTGTAGGCGTAAGTCGAATCATGTTAGTTGAGTTTGCCTGTGGCCCGCTGCACATTTAGCCTTTAGTAAATTAGGGGTCTAGTCAAGTCAGTCTGCAGTTCAAGAGTTTTCAGGAAGGGCTTATTTCAAGAATGTGATCAGCAATTTTAGTATCATCGAAAAGAGAATTGAAAAATCAATCCAGTGGTATGTAAATCCTTCCCATACATGCCATAGCATAGGCATGATATTGGTAGGTGTTCACATTTTGGAGATATGTTAAGTTCATTGATTTCCAGAGTCCCTTCATTATAATTTGTTGCACCCTAACATGCCTAAATTTCTCCCCAAATCATTTTTTTGATAATAAATGAATCATTACTAAATAAACTAAGCAATTTTTTAGTAATTTTTTTATCTCTTGTAATAAAAATGTTTCAATTTTTTCATAAAGTAAAATGTCAGGGACTGCCAACCCTGTGCCACTAAATACTGTCAGAGAGCCTGCTATGAGACACAGGTTACACATAGATCAAATCCTGCATTGCGCAAAGCATAAACAGGGGAACTGGAAGTACTTGTACTAAGTCTAGCAACAGACTATTACATAGTTACACATAATTTGCATTTGGCACCAATCTGATCTAGTTCCTGCCACTTATTAAAAGGAAAAAATGGTGCATGTCATAACTCGTTTTCTTAGAAGTTTTTAGAAGATGTGAGTATTATGCGAGGTTATTCTTCAACTTGAATAAAAGATAAAGACTCTGAACCCCAAAATTTGTTGTTACACCTCGATTTGGAAAGAGCAGAAGTTATCAAATAAGTACTTGATCGTGTGGGTTGTACAATGTATTCATGTTGACAGGACAATGAATATTGCCTGTCCCATCATGGCACCATCATTTTTTAAAAAAATAAACAATCAATTTTCATATTCTCTTCAAAGTTGCTTATTCATTGCTGTACTTTCCTTTATTCCACTTGCAAATAGACTGACCAAATTCATGAGATTTTATGTCCATGAAGACCAAGAAGACTTCTCAGCCATTATCTTGTAAGAGGTTTTAGACGTAGTCTGGAACCTTTCACATTCTGTGTTATGGAGGGGGAACGACTACTCCAGCGAATAAAGACCAGTACTGATGTTGAGCCCGTGCTCAGAGATTTAGAGGTAATTATGATTGCAATATTCTAGTGTTAACTTTTGCCTGGAAGCATGCTGAATGTTCCAAAAAGCCAACACTGCCAAATCATGCACACTTTTTTTTCTACTTTTTTTGCCTGGACAAAAGGGATTGTGGAATGTCGTTGAAAATAATGGCATATTGATTTTCAGTACTGATCAACTCAAATTCATTCAAAACTAGGCATTGATTCACAAAGGTTTTTGGAGAATGAAGGTTAAGCCTCACCTCTCATGTGTTAAGTGAAAGTAATTTTTATCCTTCACAAAGATGTACTAGTGGAGAAAGTATTGGTTATTCCTCGTTCTGATTTTCGCACAGGTTTACTTGGCTCCTGTACTGCGTCATAAAACCAGCCCGTCACAGGAGCAAGCAGCAAAGTATGGTTTCTATGCGATGAAAGTGCTCCGCGCCTGTGTGCAGCAGCTGTCAGCCCTCAAGACGGGCAATGGCACAGTCGCAGGCATCATCTGTATCGCCAGGAGGAGCTACGAATGCGTCTGCAAGGTGCTGAAGCACACCAAGTTGGTGCCGCTGTCGCTGGAGAAGCTACTGTTCCACATGGTGGTGCAGGGCATGGCCAAAGGGCTGGTGGTAGACGCCACGGCCTTTGCCACGAATCTCCATGAGCGCCTGGGCCTGTGCCGGAACAATTTCATCACCGGGGACGGCGTCGACAATGAGTACGACACGGTGTGCAAGCAGGCCTTCAACCAGCTCTGGAAGGCCTGCGTGGACCTGGAGCACTCCTCCAAGCAGGGGGCCATGAAGCACGTGGTGGTGCTGGATGTTCGGTTGCAGGCACTCAACTTCTTGATGCTGACAAGTTACGAAGTGTCATGGGTGGTTGAGAGAGCTTTCCGGACCATTGTCGAGTTTGACCGAGCCAGCAGTAACTCAATGGAAGAGAATAATCAAGTACTTGAGTTCCTCAGGCATATCTTGAAATCTTTGCTCAGTGATCTACGAGATGCCAGGAAAAAGCAAGACCTGCAGTCTGAGGAGGCATCAGAGCTTCTGCCTCCGCTGTTTGAACTGAGTCTTCTGTTTGCAAAGCGTTGCAGTCATCTCAAGAGACCCGAAGAAGCAATGAGCCTGTGCAAGCAACTCCAAGAGATCATCACCAGCAATTGCAGGAAACATTGCAAGAAACTTTACAGTGCTGCCGTGAGCACAATCGGAGTTACCCTGGAGATGCGAAACTTCCCATCGCCACATGTCTGCAGAAATACAAAGAAGTCCAAATCCCACAAAGCCGGAGATGCTATCAAGACTGCCGAAGAGCAGATTGAAGATGTTGTCGGTAGCACTTCCAAGGTGATTGAAAAGGGAGATCATGATATCGCAGCCATCCAGTGCCTCGTGGAAGCCCTGGAGTTCTTCAAAAAGCAGTTTGAGTGTATTGTTGACCAGCAAGGCAGGTCACCCAATCCCTCTAAGGTGGTGATACCACAAGACCTAGTTCACTCAGTTGATGCCGCCCTGAAGCTCCTGGTAGACCTGCTCCAGGTGCAGAGGGAGCAGCTGCAGAGCTCCAGCGGTACCCTCCACGAGTCCTCTGCTGGGAAGGGAAAGCAGCAGAGGATGTCCCTCCAGAAGACGGTCAACAGGCAACTTGCCACGCTCAACCTGATGGCGGCCATCCTGCAGGATCGGATGGGCCGTCAGGAGGAAGGAGCCACCAGCGCTGATATCAGGCAGATGACACAGGACGCACTGGGCATCTGCCAGAGAACCCAGTGCATCATCGAGGAGGTGTCCAGTGGAGCAGGAGGAGCTTTGTCAAACAATGAACACAGGTGGTTGGGTGAGTTGTTCACTTTATGCAGCCAAGTGCACTGCAAAGCACTTATTAATTAACAAACAAGTCCTGAAAACTTGATTCAGGAAAAAAAAATTGACTCGCCCGAATGACATCTACTTGTGCTAGGTTACAGATGCACCGTCTAGGCAAGATTTTAATGTGTACAATCACTTTAATTTCCTTTGGATCTTCACAAAATGTCCAGGCTATGGAAGGTTGTAATCTGTTAGAGTGATGTATCTTGCCAGTGGTTTTTTTAATCTTTCTACAGGCACCAATGCATACAACCTTGGCCTCATGTGCTACAGGAAGAAATGGTACCCCGATGCTGTGCCACTTCTGATCATGGCCTGTGAGCAGCTCCAGATTTGGTGTGCGACAAAAGAACAGGTGGATGAAGAAAAAGTCCACAAGGTATGAAATAAATGTCTTTTTAAATAATAATATCGGATGGCAACTTGAAGGCAGAGTCACTGGTAATGATCGATTAAGACCCCAGTTTTGTCGACTTCATTCAAATCACATTTTAGGATGTCAAAACATGGAGAATCATCACTATCACTGCTTACTGAACTTCTGCTGGTACTTGTGTGCCTTACGAAACCTTTTTCCATCTAGAACCTTAGCCTTTTGAATGTTAAGTGACCCTTTAACCCTAACCTTACATAATATTACAAATTACTACTTGAAGTAACAAGCCAAAAAATACAATAGCTAAAACAATGTACCATACAGTGCTGTGGCACTATGAATGCATGGCTTTATTGTTCTCTGTACGAATAACAATGGAAGTAACCTAGCCAGAAGTAGTAATATGTAGCGCTAGGTCCTTCAGGCTCAGACTATTACTTAGTATTTTGTAGTACTGAGTACTGTAAGCCAAACAATATGCTTGGTGGTTAGGGTAAAGACTTGCATTCTGCAGTGATTTGAGAATGCTCACATAGGAATCAGTAACTCTATGCGGAGAAGTGGGACTGTGTTGCAGATGTCACAGGCTTGAAATCTGTCTTTTCTTTGATTATCCAACTTGAGTTGAAGCACCCCCTCATCAGTTAAAAAAAAGCCATATTGGTCGGAAGTGTTCAATGCGACCGTAACACGTACATTTCCTAGGAATTCGTAGACCAGCGAAGTTCCGCTCTGACCAAAGGAACCTCTGTTGCTAAGAAAACTGCACCCACTCGTGGTTCAGCTCGAGGCTCATGTTGATGCATGTTTAACTACACACGCTGACTTTCAGGTTCAGCTGTTCAGCAAGCACGAACTCCTTGTGGACTGCCAACGAAAGGCTGGACAGCATAAAGAGGCCATGCAAACAGCTGTGACCTATCTCTGGGCCCACGCCGGTCACCTGACGGATCAGCTGACCACTGCTGTAGAGTACTGGGTCAAAGCCAAGCGAGACACTGCGAAGAATGCAGAGGATGAACGGCTCAGAACAAGGTGAAGGCATACAGATTAAAAGGGCTTTATGCAACTCGAGTTGATCATTTGGCCTCATACACTTATGGCCGCTGTGCTGTGAAAAGGACATTCTAATCTCATCATGAATATACATGTAACTCTTTAGAGGAATAACCAATGAGGATTACCCTGCCGCTGTCTCTAAGCAGAGTGTGTGCAAATACAGCATACGTAATGCAAAATGACGCAACGCTGGTGCAGGTCACACGCAAGCAGGCTGGCTGCAGTGCATGATGGAAGTGTCTCCGGCCCACGTGGCAGGAGGGCGGAGCAAGAGCAGAGCGGCGACATGCAGGGCAGGTCAATCACTATGCATATTCATGTATGGTTGTAAGGGTCAAATGCCTAACTCTGGCAATCATGCAGCAAGACAACGCGTGAGATAAGGCTCAACTGCATTCAATAGCAGTATACACAACGATGCTTTAGTGATGAAAAACTCTTAGGCATAAGTGCATCATAGAATGAATGACAGTAATTCAGAGATATGCAACAATATGTTATTTGTCTTCTCTGTTGTTCATGTCCGGCTATCTTTACCTCACCGTTATTTCTGTGTAATCTATGCAGAACCCTGCTTGATGCCATTCAAGAAATTGAGGGAACCATCTCCGATGAGAGCTCCAGTCTTGTCTCCAAGCTTCTCGAGCAGGAACTTAGCATCTACAAAGCACAGAGGTACGTATCTGTTATTCGTAGTGAAAATACCACTTTCTGGCCTGACTGCCTTAAAATTCAGAATGTTTAACACAGATGTTGTTTACCGAGCATAAAAGTAAGTCCTGCAGTTGTATTTGTAAATTTCTTGGTTTTGAAAAAAAAAGAGGAAAATGAAACATGATACTGAAAATTGAAAAAGAAACTTGCACATTAAGGAAATTTTTGTTACTTTTTGTTGCATTTTTTGTCTATGCGCACAATGAAATTGTATATTATTATATAAGAAATGATATTTTCCTTTGTGATTTGTTGCTGGAATTTAATTTATTTGCCAGTAGCATTTTCATTGAACTAAAAAAGTTTGCAGAATTGATTGAGGTAATTGAATGATTTTTTAAATTGAAAATGACCTCATAACTGCCTGCATTCGGTCAAAAACATGTGTATTTGAACCATGTACACTTTACAAATTAGACAGACTCGGCAGTGTGCAGCCGACTCATCAAGTGGCGAATGAATCACTCAACATCCCTCGCAATGATTATTTCATCAATGGAATTACCGACATGCTTTCATTTATAATTTATTTCACTGTTATTCCTTGCCTTCTCAACCACCCCCGTTGTTCTCCCCTCCCCCATCCCTTCCAATTTATCCGTGATTGATCACAAGCCGTCGGCTGGCGTGTATAATTCATCAGATTGTATTTAGGCGCAGGTCGACTATCTCGTGAGGATGGATCACCCTTAGCAAATTGGAAGGCATATTTATGGATTGGTCATGTTTGGTCCATTATTCCATTTAATGCACAGGTGCAATTTTTTTGTGCATTCAGCCGCCAGCACACTTTATTGTATGAAATTGAAAAGCCTTCCAAAAATCTAATACGGTAATTCAAGCAAAAAGATGATCCATGCAAATTAGAACTTGTTTCGTTGAGGAAAATGCACGTCCATTGCGGCAATTACATTTCAGGGTTTCCAACATAATAGCCTATTGTGCTGAACCAAATACTCTGGTTTATACAAAATGGATTACGCTTGTCTAATCATAAGGTATGCAAAGAAACTGTTTACATCTTACATGTTCACCAAAGCTTTTTACAGCATGGAATGGATATTGCTTCCGAAGTGACTCGGTCCTAAATCAGCCAGTGTGCAACCTTTCTTCAGATCAGCAATTTCTTTATTTTTTGCTTCACATGCGCGTCATTGGAAATTTAAAAGCACCGTACGGTGTACCACGTCTTTCGTAGACTAGTTAAGATTTTTGTCACATTTTTCTGAATTCCTGATTGCCTGCCTGAATAAGTTAATCTAGAAATCATAGTCCTAGTTTTAAAATGCTTGACAGGGCATTTGTGCTTCAGATTTTTACCATCTAGCAGTGGGCATTTATTTTGTCAAATTTCTTTGGTACCGTGAGATAGCATGATACCCTGGTTGGCTCCTTTTTCTCAGGTATGACACAACGGTGGAGCAGTATGCCGTTGTGTGTGATCTCCTCAGCCTGTACAGCGAAGATAGGATGAGACTACACAGGGCACACGCCCGCATTGAACAGGCCCAGCTATTACGCGATGGCACGCTAGACACTGACTGGTAAGCTCATTCATTTCTTAGGGCTTAGAAAGAACCATTTTCCTCTCTGCATGAATTTTTTCTACCGAATACTTGATAGGGCAATGATATTTTGCAGGAGGGGGAAGTAATCATGGAGTGGTAAATTTCTTTTGTCTTGCCTGTGTTCCTGACAGCATTTTCTACCTAATACTTCAGTGTTGCCTAAAATTCCTTACTTTCCTCTTTTTTGGGTACATTTCTGCTATTTAAAATTTCATTTCCCCATTTTGACTTTAAACCTGTCTATGATCCTTCAAATCCGTCCCAAGATTTTGAAGGACATTTCCAGGATTTAGAACCATCGAGCCCAGACAATATTGCCTAACAGGGAGGTCGATGACCGTTGAAAAGTCAAGTTCAACTAATGTGCCATCGGCTTCCTGCATCTGAGACAGTATCGCGGAGGATTGGGGGGGGGTGGTTTGCGGTCAAATTCCTGGCTAAGAGTGCCCATGGTATACACAGAAAGGTTCACTCTCTCTCAATGTGGTTTTCCAGCTCTCCTGTCGACTGCTGCCAGGAGGCCATTCACCTCCTGGAGGAACTAGCCCAAGACATCGTGCAACAGCAGCAGGACCAGGAGGCGAGCAGTGCGGATTACCTGGTGGTGTTTGACCTGCTGGCCACGGCTCACTTCTGGCTCTACATCTGCCAGAGCGAGGCCAGTCAGGTAAGCGTGAAACTTCAGACACTTTTACTTAAACTCAGTCTCGCATGTTTTTGTTCATATAAATGTATTCCGTTCATTGTGCATAATTTATTTTGATATTTGGTTTTCTCCTTCATATCAAGGAATCCTTTGAAGCTTTGTACGCTCAATATTTTCTCAGAGCTGGCTAGAAAAAGTGAAGTTTACTTGAGCGGGACTCGAACCCTCGACCTCCTGTTTACCAGAGCAGGAGGATTTACAGTAACAGAATGGGTTTTACTGCTGTGAGCACAGATAGGCACATAGCCTTTATGTAGTGTTGAAAGTCATACTCTTTAGAGCACACTCATTGGCTGTACAGTCATTTGCGAAAGTTTAAGACCACCTGGAGTTTTATTGCCATTTCTGTCACTGGGCCTGCATTACACTGTCT